CTCTAATACCAACAAAGAAAAATCCCAGATTGTGCAAAACTACAAAAGCCATAAGGAAAGGCAGAAAGGAGATTTAACAGGGGGAGATTTGGATTAAAATGTAAATTACATTAAAATGTTTTCATCCTGGAGACAGAAGAACTTACACTCCTGCATAATTTCTCTTAATACTGGCTATATTTTAATAAGTTTATCTTCAAAGAGTCTAAAAGGTGTCATGCCCCTAAATGGAAAACATCATAACCTAATTTATCTTGCCTTAGATTAAATCTGTCTGTCTGTCTATCTATCTATCTATCTATCTATCTATCTATCTATCTATCTATCTATCTGTCTATCTATCTATCTATCTATCTATCTACCGCTTCTCCCTGCCTTATGTCTAATCGAGCCATTTTTGCCAGGCAGTGGGAATGTGAAGTACCAATTAATTCATAACAGTAGTGTTCCACATCAACTTTGCATGGCTGTAAAAGGAGCAAGGTAATGGAATCAGACATAGCCACTCATGAATAATTAGCCAGCATCTTTCCACTCAGCATAGAAAGAAAACAAAAGTCCAACAGCCTTAAAAACCTAAATAAACCTTCTAATACATGAGGATTTATAGGCTGGGCTTAGATAAAAGGTTTGAGTATTGGACCAGACATTATTAAATACACAAGTTTTGCTGCTTACTTCTGGGAGTAGTTTTTTAAAACAGCACTTTACCTTGCATGTCTTTGATAGTTCTGGTCTTGGAGATAAGAAACCTTTTTTTATGCTTGGGTCCAAATATGCTGGGTAACCAAGAATTGGTTATTTGTTCTCTTTAATATGTAAGTATGCTAGAACTCATTGATATGGTGCCTGGAGTTCCCAGACTTCAGCGTAGACAGGTGGTGATGAAAGACAGACAGGTAGGTAATTAAAGTACCAGATCAGAAATCAGGTGAGTGAGGCTCTTTTCCAACCTCCACCATGGACACATTCAAGCATGTGGGTCTGCATCTTTTGCACCATCCTTTTTTCTATTTTTAAAAAATTGAATTGAGATATTAAACTCTGTGAGGCTCAGAACTGC